GCCCAAGAGAGAGGCTCTGACTGGCCGATTTGCTATCATCCAATCTGGAGCATCCTCATTGGACAGAGCCTCAGGCAAACCCCCTCCTGGCCACCTCTCATGGTGGTCCTTGCTGAGGCCCTTAAAATCCTTAAACCATCCCCCAGTTTCCTTCAGTAATCACCTAGGTATCCCTGAAAGCCTTCATGCCCCATCCCACCCACATCTGCAGGCTGGATTGGGCAGCTCAAGGCCCAGCCTCTCAGCCATCCTGCCTCCAACTCTCCATCCCTCTTGCCTGCAGCCCTGGGACCCTGGGGAGGGGTGGACCTGGCTGCAGAGCCCCTCCTCCCTTTGGCCCTGCCCTGAATGGGAGGGATAAAGGAGCACTGAAGCAACCCTACCTGATTCTCATTAGGGGCCACAGCTGGGATGGACCCTGCAGGGCCAGATCACAGCGGCGGTAGCGGGGAGAGCAACCCCTACAACCAGCGGCCATGCAGGTAGGAGTCTGGGTTTTAGGAGGACATAAGGAAAGTGGGAGAAAAGTCTTTGGGGTTTGGCCTGGTCAGTGAAAGCTCAGTCTCTAAGAATTTGGGGTGCATCAGGTGGGTGAAGGGGCTTCCTAGCCCCTAGAGAAATCTGGAAGTCTAGAGATTATCTCTCCCCACCTCATAGTCCAGAGGAGGATACTGAGACCAGAAAGGGGATAAGACATACCAAGGCTGCACAGCTGAGTCAGGGCTCAATCAGGGTCTGACTATTCAAGGCAGGGATTCCCTGCCTGCCTTTTTTTTCTTTCACTCAACAAAAGTTTCTTTGCCCAGAAATACCAAACAGCTCCCTGTGGGTGGGATCTGGCCTCTTGGTCACCTTTGTAGCCTCAACGCATAGCCTGGTGCCAGGTGTTCATAAATGTTTGAATGGGAACACTTCAGTTTGAACATTACACCATTTGAGAGTCATTCCTTTGGGTACACTAGCTCCCTAGGTCTTCCATCAGATAGATGTTCATACCTTAGCACAGATTTGTTTTGCCAACAGCTGGAAGAGATCAGTTCTCCCTGGAGTTTGGGTAAAACAGGGATAATTGTAGATCTTAGGGTCTCAGGGTGAAGTGGTTTTCCCAGGTTGGGAAGGAGGCCAGGTAGCAAGAAGAAGGCAAAAAACAAAAATGAGGTGGTGGGGTTACTAAAGGAGATTTTTCAATTGTTTCTGGCCCTGCCCAAAGATTAGGAAGGAAGATGGCATCTTCGTCTAAGTTTAGGCCCTTGAGTTTTAAAAATCCTGCTCAGGGGGCTCCTTTGGCAGACTCTGTCTCCCACTTTCCTGTACCCAACCCTGCCTTCCTCAGCCCTGGCTCTCCTCTACACCCCCTAATCTCAGCCAACTGTCCAGTCCTGGTGACCCTGGCTCACTGCTCAAGAGTCCATGCTCCAGCCCCCCAGACACCAAGCTGCTTTTGTTGTCTCCCCAGGCTGGATTACCTATGATCTCTGCTGCTCTGTCTCTACCCCTTGGCCTCATAAGTTGGCTTAAGAAATTCCCCAAATCCAGCTGCCCTTATCCCTGCCAAATCAATCTTGGTTAATTAGAGAAGTATTGGGCCGAGTGAGGACACCTGGGTTACAGGGCTAGCTCGAGTCCCAGACCAGTTACTTGACCCCTTTGAGCCTCCGATTTTGAAAACAAAAAATGTCTCCTGACTTTGAAATCTTGTTTTGAGGATTAAATGAACTAATTTGACAATTCCCTAAACAAAATGTGTTTTATTGATATGCTAAGGGTGTGTGGGTGGAGGGCTGAAACAAACAACAACAAAAACAAGTTTAAGCAATACTAGGTTAAATCAAACAGGTTCCTTTGCAGGACTTATCATAGCCTTTAATATGTTCATGTACAATAAGCAATATACAACATGACTCTAAGAAAATATAGAAGGAAGAGTTTCTCAAATCGATTGATCACAAAGCCCCTAGCCCCTTTGGCTGTGGCTCATCCGATGGGCTAAGAACCCCTGGGACATGCTGGGAGAGCTCTGTCATTGAACCTCGCAGCTTGTGATAGAGCTAGTGTAGTGGCCTCTCTAGGAAGTCCTGGAGGTCAGCCTCGTGGGTAGTCTTTAGGAAAAGCAAAGCTCTGGGGACTGGGGATAGGAGCCCTGCAAACCCTTCCTCTGAAGTTTACTGATTCCTCCCCTAGGATATAAGAGGCTTCTCTTCTCAGGTCACCCACCACTTTCTTGTGACTCATTTCCCTCTCACCCCACCCTCCACCCTCCCTAACTTTGGGTGTCACCTTAACCACTGATCTGGTCCCTACCTCACTCCAGCCTCTTCCTGTCTACTCCCCACTTTATAATTGGGAGCAGAAACATACCAGGCCAGCATCTTCTATAAACCTAAAAGAAATTTGAAAAACCGTGTTTCCTTCCATGCTCCCAAGTTATCTAATGGTTTTCATCATATCATAAATTGTTGCAAAGCTTCCATTTCTAATATATTCTAAGTAGTCCTATTTTAAAATATAGCAATTATATTACTCTTAATTCCAAAAGAGATTTTTAAAAGATGTTTTTAGAGAAGTTACACACTAAATCAAACATTTTTTTCCCATTACTGAATCTTGCTTCTCCAAGACTGATACTTCAGGCAAGATTTCGACAAATGTGTTGAAAGCTCTCGGCCCACAAGAACTTGCCCTCAATCTTCCTGCAGGAGCTTCTCAGTTTTCCAGGCCAGGCAGTGAGAATGATTATAAGCACCATGGGGGTACTGGGCTGGGGCTGGAGTTCTGTGCAGAATCTCAATCCAAGGTATTTCAGGCTGCTTGCTTTGGGTCCTGCCAATGAACTTTCTGTGTGGACAGCTGACCAGCAATAGCAGGTGAGCAGGGTGGATTTGAATAAGTACATTATCCTTTTCATGTATCCAGTGGCATCTAAATACCAGAGAGATTTCACATATAATGTCATCCATATAAAAATATACGTAACTGGTCCTTTCCAGTTTTACATAATTCCTTTTTCTCCTTCAATACCCATTTTACTTTGCCCACAGAATTTTATCCTAATACAATTATTTTTATTCTTAGAAGGCTTTTACTGATCATAATATTTATTATCTATTCCTGCAACAAAAATATTTCTTAAACAGAAATTTAATTTTTGTCTAAATTTAGTTATTAGTAGTACTCAGTTGATCAAAACAATGTAAATATATTATACACTTCACAGTTAATTACTAAATAACAAAAAATTTTCTTTAGAAAATTTAGATGGGGCCATTGCTTTTTTTTTCCCCTCCAAAAAAGCTCATATATCCATGGATAAGCATTACTTATTGTTAGAATAAGACAGGATTTGATATCAATTTTTTTGTTTTTTTTGGGGGGGGGAGGGGAATTAGGTTTATTTATTTGTTTGTTTTTAGAGGAGGTAGGGATTGAACCCAGGACCTTGTGCAGCCAGGACCTTGCACATGCTAAACATGCACTCTACCACTTAAGCTATACCCTCTCCCCCTTCTATTTTTACTATTTATGAAAGGAAGTACTGAGAAATCTTCACATAAATAAGCAAATGGAAATGGAAGGTGATTTGTTACAGGAGGGTCACTCTATTCTTTAAATTTCTTCTGAGTTAAATGAAAAAATGACAGTGATCTGAATTAAAATTAAAAATTACTGTTTAGGGGGAAGGGTATATATAGCTCAGTGGTATAGAGTGCATGCCTAGCATGCACGAGGTCTTGGGTTCAAGCCCCAGTATATCCATTAAGTAAACAGATGAATAAACCTAATTACCTTCTCCCTGAAAAAAAAGATTAAATAAATAAATAATTTTTAAAAATTACTGTTTAGTGATCTTACATTACCCTCCTGACCCTCACATGTGCTTCTATAAAAATAACAACAATAACAGCAGCCACAATTATTATTATAAGTGCTATGCTATGTAGTAGTATAATAATAATCATTGGACTAATGCGTATTACTACTGGCACCTCCTCAAAGGCTTTCCCTGACCACTCTGTCTAAAGCAGATTTCCATCCTGCCAGCCTTTTATTTCTGCCTGAGCTCTTCCCACCATCTGTTTGTCTTGGTTATCCATGTCCTTGTTGCAGGGCCTGGGCTGAGAGAGGCAAGTAAGGTATGTTGTGCAGGGTTGAATCTTGTCTTTATTTAAAAATTTGATATTTTGTTCATCATGGATTGTTTTTGCATAAATTTTGATCTTTTAAAAAAACACACACTAAAATATTACTTCTTATTACTGAGTTTTTTTGGCATTCCCCTGAATTTTTGTGTCCAAGGTGACAGCCTCCCATGCCTCCCCCCATTCCTGGCCCTGATTTGTTGGTTCTCTGCTTCATCACTTCAGGGAGCTCCACAGGCAACTTCCATGTCCAGGGGCTCCACGTGTTCTTACAAATGAAGGACCATGTGACTGACGGTCTGGCACCTTCACCAACAAGACTCGGAGTCTCTTAGACATTCTCTGGGGGGGGAGGTGGGGACCACTCTATGGCAGAGCCCTGGTGTAGGCTGGCAGTCTTTGTTCTCTTGGGACTAGAGTCCGGCCTCTGTCCCAGCCACTTCACACGTGGGCTTATTCCCCCTCTGAGCAAGGAAGCACATGACAAGAGCACGGGTCCCCAGAGCCCTCGCTCAGGCCTGGACACCTAGTAGATTCTCAGCAAACATCTTCCCAACTCAGGCTCCTCCCACCCTCCCACCTCCCACCCTGGCCCTCAAATGTCCCCTATAGTAGTGGTGATGACGATGATGATGTCAGCAGAGTATTAAGAACAATTAAATATTTATTGAGGGCTTGCTACGTGCCAGGTACAGTCATTCCTGAGTATCTGCGGGTTCTGTACCCCAGATGGAAAATATTTGGGAGAAAAATTCCACAAAGTTCCAAAAAGCAAAACATAGCATTTACATTGTATGAGGTATTATAAGTCATCTAGAGATGATTTCAAGTATACAGGAGGATGTACGTATGTTATCTGCAAATAATGCCACTTTATATAGGGGACTTGAGCATCTGTGGATTTTGGTGTCCACAGGGGTTCTGGAGCAAATTCCCCAAGGATACCAAGGGATGACTGTACTTCTACATATACTGTCTCATTTAAGTTTTACATCATCCCGTGAAGTAGGTACTAATATTATTCCCATCTTACACATGAAGAAACTGTGGCATGGAAAAATTGTCCAAGGTCATACAACCAAGAAATAGTGGTACCTGGCAGAACTAGCTACATCATTTGTGAGACCTGGCACAAAATGAAAATCAGGGCTCCTTGCTCAAAAATTTAATTATTTTAAGATGGCAACAGCAGAGCTTTAAAGCAAGTGTGGGGCTCCTGTGTGACAACACGGGCCTGTGCCCAAGGAGCCAACCCTGGTACCAGAATCTGAATTCAGAATTCTGACTCCAGAACCCACAAGCCTCTGTGTTTGGAGAAAGTCCTAGGAATCCCTGTAATTTACTGAGAACCTGCTTTGTGCATTGTGAGAAATCTTCAAAAGCCCTCACAACATCCCTGAGGTAACAGTGAGGTGTTGTCACCCTGATTTTTAAGAGTGAGGAAACCAAGCTTTGGGAAGCTGAGTTACCCACCAGGGTAACTGAGTTACCCCAGGGTTACCCAGGGGGGCCAGGCTTTGAACACAGGACCATCTCTGGAGCCTATGTTCTTGTACCACATGGCCTCTTTCTATAAGGATCACCAAGGCAGGAACTAAAATGGGGCTCGGCGTGACTCAGACAATCTCTTAGGAACTTTGACCCAGAAGCCTGTCACTGGGGCTCGAGCTGCTGCTTTGCTCAAGACCAGAAGGCGTCCCAAGTCTGCAGATACTTCCAGCGAGGCTTCTGCTTCCACGGAGGTCGGTGCAGGTAAGCCCCTCTTCTCCTGGAATGGGGGGCAGGCTGGGGGACTTGGGAGGAATCATCTCTGATGGGCCATGCATCCTCCCAGAGCCTCCTCTGCCCACTCAGCTCCAAGGTCTAGGCTGAGCTAGCTCTGAGCCCAGGAGGGGCCAGCCTTGTCTCCTTACCCTTTCCTTCCTCCCTACAGCTACCAGCACCCACAGCCTCCCCGGCACCTTGAGTGGGGCCGCCGCCACTCAGAGCCACAGATCACCCTGCCAGGATCCCAGCTGGGGCTGACCCGCAGGGGGTCCGAGCCCACCTACCTGCCCTCTGTGGCTGTGGGTTGGGGCTGGGCCAGGGGATACCGGGGCATGGAGCCTGGCCTGGAGGAGTTCAACAAAGCTGAGGAGGTTGGTGGCAGTTCCTGGAAGTCCCTGTTGCCATCATGTGAGTCATCAGGGGCACTGCAGGTGGGCACTAGTGGGATCTGAGACCAGGGTTCCTGCTCTGTCTCTGAGCAAGTTTCTATTTCTTTCCACCCCTCTCCCTCCTCAAGATTCCCAGGCAGAGGGGAAGTTTCCTCCGACTCTGTTGCTTTCTCTGTTCTAGAAACAGAGTACCTGCCCTAGAAGCAGAATACCATGGTGCCTGTGGAGTCAAACCACTTAGTTTCAAATGCTGGCTCCATCACTTAGGGGCTGTGTGATCTTGAACAAATCACTTAACCTCTCTGGGCCTCAATTGCCTCATCTACAAAAGGCCACTGATAATAGTACCTACCTCACAGGGTTGTGTGAGGTTGCGATGAGTTCATAGCTGTGATGTGCTTAGCACAGTACTTAGCACAGAGCAAACACTAAATGTTAGTGGTTTTTTTTTTAGTTATTGCTCTTATTCAGTGCTGCCCAACAGAAGTATGTCATGTATGTAATTTTTTGTAACAGCTATATTGAGATATAATTCACAAACTAAAAAATTCGCCAATTTAAAGCGTACAATTCAATGTAATATAGTGTATTCAGAGTTGTACAAACATTACCACTATTTAATTTTAGAAGCTTTTCACTACACTGAAAAGAAACCCATTAGCAGCACCCTCTACCCCTCCCAGCCACTGGCAACCACTAAGCTACTTTCTGTCTCCATGGATTTGCCCATTCTGGACATTTCATATAACTGAAATCATACAACATATGGTCTTTTTGTGAGTGGCTTCTTTTACTTAGTATAATATTATCTAGGTTTATCCATGTTGTAGCATATATAAGTACTTCATTCCCTTTTATGGCCAAATAATATCCCATTGTACGGATATATACCACATTTTGTTTCATTCATTCGGCAGTTGATGGACATTTGGGTTGTTTTTACTTTTGGGCTTCTATGAATAAGGTCACTATGAGCATTTATGTACAAGTTATTGTACAGATGTGTATTTTCATTTCTCTTCTTTTTTAAACTGGCTAATTGGCTTTTTAAAACTTTTTTTGGGGGGGGGAGATAATTAGGTTTATTTATTTTACTTTTTAGAGGCAGTACTAGGGATTGAACCCAGGACCTCTGCATGCTAAGCATGTACTCTAACCACTTGAGCTATACCCTCCTGCCTTCATTTCCCTTGAATATATACCCAGGAGTGGAGTTGCTGGATCATATGTTAACCCTATGTTTAATATTTTAAGGAACCACCAAACTGTTTTCCAATGTGGCTGCACCATTTTACAATTCACATATGTAATCAAAAATGTTCTTATAGTCACATTAAAAAAAAAAGTAGAGGGGAGGTTTTAGCTCAGCGGTACAGTGTGTGCTTAGCATGCATGAAGTCCTGGGTTCAATCCCCAGTACTTTCATTTAAAAAAAAATCATAAAAGTAAAAAGCAACAGGTGAAATAAATTTTAATACATTTAATTGAACTCAATATATCAAAGATTACATATCTAATATCATTTCAATATGTAATCAATATAAAAAGCTATTAAGGAGACATTTTTAGAGGCTTTTTGGTACTAAGCTTCAAAATCTCATGTATATTTTACACTTACAACATATCTCAGTTCAGACTAGCTCCACTTCAGGTGCCCAATAGCCACATATGGCAGGTGGCTGTCCTATTGAACAGCACAGTTCTAAATAGTTGTGTTTGAGGCTTATAATTCTGATTAGGCCTTGAGCTACTGGGGGCAGAACTTTATGCGCGAGCAGAGCCTTGCAGACAGCAGATGCTCAGTAGATGCCACATGAATGAGTAAATGAATGAATGGACCTAGTTTTTTCCAACAGCTGCTGATGGTGGCCACAGCTACTCTCAGAAGCCTCAGCCTAAGTCAGACCCTATCCGGGAGCTTCTGGCCCTACTTCAGAGCCTAGACCTTGAGGTGCAGCAGGTAGTTGAGGGGAAGGGGCAGAGGATGCCATGGTGGACCTCTGGGATGCCCAGACATGCTGGAGGAGGGTCCCTGGAGCTGTATTTGGGTGGCCATGAGTGTGTGTGTATTTGAGGGGGTATGTGCTCTAACCCTGCCCGTGGCTGCAGAGGGAGCATGACAGTCGGGACATCATGTGTGGCATCTGCATGGACAAGGTGTGGGACAAGCCAGAAGCACAGCGGATCTTCGGCATCCTGCCCAACTGTAGCCATGCCCACTGCCTGGGCTGCCTGCGCACCTGGCGGAAGAGCCGACAGGACTTCCCACTGGATGTCATCAAGTCAGTGTCATGCAGGGGCCAGTAGGGAGGGAAAGGTCCCAAAGAGATTTGGGCTTGGAGGCCAGCTGGTGGGCTTGAGCCTCCTCTTCTCTCACCTCCCACCCCACCTCGCAGGGCCTGTCCCCAGTGCCGTGTCCATTCCAGCTACATCATCCCCTGCAAATTCTGGGTGAGCAAGGGGCCTAAGAAGGAGCAACTCATTAGGAACTTCAAGGCTCGGACCAGGTAACCTGGCAGGGGGCACATGACTCAGGTTAGGAAAGAGGGGAGGAGAGTCCCTAATCCATTCTGGCTAAGCCACAGTTCCCAACCTGGGATCCCCCAAATCCTGGACATTCGGAGTGATGGAGATGGCAGGCGAGGGTGTGAGCTATTTCCACTATTTCAGAAATCCCAGTAAATAATAGTGAGTGGCTGAGACAGCAGCAGAAGAGCAAGGCCAAGTTTCCCTTCTAGCCTGGCTCAGGATCGATGCAGGGCAACTCTGGTTCTCTTAGCACAATGGGAAGCTTTGCTTGGCTTTTGTTTCTGACTTGTGTTTTTAAAGCAGGGAAGTAAATTGTTATGAATACACGTTGTTTGCTTAGATGATCTTTGAAAACATAGAGTCTCTGAGAAGGAGACTGAAAGGCAGCCCTCAGAGACAGGGGAAAGTTGGGTAGGTTTTAATCTCTTGGCGGGAGGGTAGACTTTATTCAAAATCTGGAATTAGCTACAATTCCTCCTCCTCCCCCTCTTCCCCCTCCTCCTCCTCCTTCTTTTTTTTTCAAATAGAGGTATTAGGGATTGAACCCAGGACCTCATGCATGCTAAGCATGTGCTCTACCACTGAGCTATACAACCCCACCCCCACCCCCAATTCCAGGTTCTTAATTCTACCTTTCCAAAGGGTTTATTATATTTGACATATACAAAGTATAGTTGGATAAAAGGTGGGATAAAGAAGATTGGTCTCTTCCTGTGAGACATTCAGCCTTGTTGGGAAGACACCTGGATTGTGCCTGTGACTGTAATAGCTGCATTAATAAAGTTACTGAGAACAAAACGTGGGCGAGTTTCACAGAGCAGGGAGAGCTGGGTGTTGGAGGAGGAGTAGGGGCTCCTCAGGAGGAGAAAACTGACAGCACCCCAGGTAGAGAGGTTGAAGTGGGGAAATCCTGCAGCTGGGGTATGGTGGGGAGCCTTCCGAAGATGTCTGGGCCAGAGGGGAGTACCCAGGCCCGGGTGTGATAGGAGACAATGACATGGAGCGTTCATCCTGGATGACAGACTGCGTGTCATAAACGCCATGATGTAGGGTCTCTTACTGCCCCCACCTGCAAAAGGAGATGTGGTCTGTGGGACTTCAGGGCAGAAGTGGGGTTTGAACCCAGGCATTCTGACTCCTAGCATGTACTAGAAGGAATGGTGGGGAGGATATTGACTTGAGAGGAAGTAGGGCCAGACTGGGTAGCCAACTGACCATGAGGCTGAAAGGAAAGTTTAAGATGACTAATGTCTGCAGCATAGGTGGACACAGGTCTGGTAGTGTCACATGAGGGTGGGTGAGGGAGGCTGATGGGGAATTTGGACAGTGTGGGGTTTTTGAAGGCTATCTGGATGGAGGGATTCCTAATGCTAGTTTTGGTCAAATGGTAGGAGGAGGAAGAGGAAGAGATAGCCATTTAGAGGAATTCCTAGGCTCCCAGCTTGGTGGTCAGTGGGGTCCTGCATTCATGCTGGGATGGCAGGAAGTGGGAAAGACTCAACTGTTTTGGAGTCAAGCAGAGAACTGACGCAGAAAAAGGCTATAAATACGCGCTTTGTCTTTTTTTCTCTCTTGCCCATCTTTCTGTGCAGGCAAAAACTGGTCCTACTTAAGCAGATCACAAACTGCCCACAAACCTCTCCTGTAATCTAACCTTTCACAGAGTGAAATTTGAAATTTCAGAAATGGGAAACTTCTCAATGAATTTCATTAGCTTGCAATTACCTAATCACAAGACCATCCCTCAGAACAGCACATTGTTCTTACTTGGTTACAGAGACACATTGCAGGGTGATCTGCTATTCCCCCCTCCTTTGGCGGTATCATTGAAACTTAGTTCAGAAAGGGAAAGGAGATTCCTAGGGTCACTACTGTCCCAAACAGAGCCTGTGTAGGAGTTATAAGAAAGGCAGGCACCCCTTAAGACACTTTACTGCCATCTGCTGGGAAATAGTTGTAATAGGTGTAACGTCTACACTTGTCTCTGATGCTAGTGGTGCCGGCACAGATGTGGTGCCTTTGTGCTGTGTACAACCTACCCAACCTTACATATCAGCCTTGAGGGTCCCTTGTTTTGGGGGCAACTGGGCTTGAAGGTGATGGTCTTCTCTTCTTTTGCCCTCTCATAGCCAGATTCGATGCCGGTTCTTCATACGGGGGAATGGCCGCTGCCCCTTTCAGGCTGACTGCATTTACCTGCACCAGCTCCCAGATAAGGCCCTGACCTCTGATCCTCCCTGGACCAAGAGTATGCAGCTGGCCTCTGTGAGTGAGGTAGTATCAGCAGGGATATGGGGTGGGGGAAGCTGCTGGTCATGGTTTATAATATGTCTCTGATAAATGTAAAACCTGTGTATGATGGCCGTGACATTAATGGTGCCTGCTTAGATGTGGGACTTTTATGCTACGTACAACCCACACAAACTCCTGTGTCAGCCTTGATTCCCTTGTACTTGGCACAACTGGAATTGAAGCTGGTGGGTTTTCACTGATTTCTTTCTTTACTCCCAGGTGGTGGGCACAACAGCATACCTAGGGGGCACGGAACCAGAGGAGGAAGTGTTCTTCATGGACTGTGCCCTGGCCATGGCCTTCTGGGGTTCAGAACTCCCACTGGACCCCAACAGTTCTTACCACTGCCTCCTGTAACCAGGATCAACATGTGGGGGATGGGGCTGAGGGGCAGGGGTTGCTAGGTGGTAGGTCTTTTCCCTTTTTGGGCTTGGTGGGGGGTGAAAATAGCAAGCCCTCCACCCCCATGAACCACAGCAGTGACACAGTTGGGGAACATGGGGATGAGGGAGGGCTCTTGGAAAGAGGAAGGGTTCTCACCTTCTTGCCGGGGACTTGGTTTTTAACTTTGCTCTTTTGTAGACAAATTCTGAAAGAAAACCAATAAAATGCGCCTAAGCCATCACTGCTGGTGTCTGAAGAGTGTCTGCTCATAGCCCAGGTGCCCTCCCACCCCAGTCGAGTGTTGCTTCTGCAGTCTGTTGCAATATCATTCATCATTTAACCTCTGGAAAACTTCACATTATGCTTCTAAGAGAATGAGAGCAGAAAGGGCAAAGAACATTTTAGGTATTGTATAAATAGTAAAAATGTCATGAATTCCATGCAAAGGTCTCCAGGATTCCCCCAGGGTTCTTGAACCACGCTTAGAACTTTCCTCCCTACTCTCCTTCTCCTTTGCTAGAATGTAAACCTTGATGGGCATGAGCCAGAGACACCACTGAGTAAAACTGAGGGGGGCAGGGCATTGAAAGCTGTTTAGCATTCTTGGCCCTGCCTACTACTTCTCAGGGCCTCCCCCCACCTCTCCCCGGGCCCTAACAGCATTTGAAGACCAGCATTTGGTCATTTGAAGACCAAAAACATCTATGAGGTTAGAACTGCTCACCTGAGATAGAGGTGCTTGGAAGAAACTTCTTTCCTACCATTTTGGCCTTTGCAAAGCAGGCATTATCGAAGAAATAATGCTTAGTCTTTTTCAACAGCTCCCTTGAAATCATTTTGGAAAAAATTAAAATTTGGGTGCTAATGGAAATCAGATGCAGCTCAAAATATGCCTATGGCGGTGGGGAGGGTATAGCTCAAATGGTACAGCACATGCTTAGCATACACAAGGTCCGGGGTTCAATCCCCAGTACCTCCTTTGAATAAATAAGTAAACCTAATTACTACCCCCCCAATATATATCTGTGGTTTCCCAGACTATTCAGAATGAAAGACAGATTCCACTCTCTGACCTCAAGGTGGTATAAGACCTGGTTTGTTTCTCTCTCTGATCTTATCTCCTCTTACTTCCTAGCAACTGCACTCCACTCCAACCATGCTTCTGCCCCAGAGCCTTTGCATTTGCCGTTCCCTCACCTTATCTCCTTCAGGTTTTGCCTGACTACCTACATAAAACTACCTCACTCGATCTCCCTTCCCTAGTCTATTCTTCTTGAAAGCACTTACAACAAACAAGCATCCTGTTGTTTACTTATTTAGTTGTCTGTCTCTGCTTGAGTGTCAGCAACAATGAGCGCAAGGGTCTCTATTGTGTTCCCTGTATACCGAGCCATAAGGTGCTCAGTGCAGATTTACTCAGTGGATGCGTATGTGGCAGCAGAAGCTGGGAGGATGAGAAATACAAGCTGGCACGCAAAATAGGGTTTATGGGATGCTGTGGGGCTCTTCTCCCCTCTCCCTGTCCTATTCCTGTCCTCTGCAGTGACCCCCTCCCTTCCCTGGAAGACTGCTTCCTCCACTTCCTTAACTGAAACCCTGGAGGTGGAGGCACTCTTGGCCCCTTATGAACAACCAGAGCAAGGCCGCTCCTAGGTCTTTGGGAGGAAGTTCACAGTAAGGCCTTTGGCCATATAGATGGCGTTAGGTTTTGCTGAGACTCCATTCTCAGGTACACTGGTTCAACAAATATTTCTGCATGATGGCGGTTGATGGCCTGTGGAAGAGGTGATGCTACGGTGAGGTGGTAAATTATGATCAAATCCCATGGCAAAGCCCATGATCTACAAGCAACATAGACATCAGCTAAAATTAAACGATCCTGAAGTACAATAGGATCCCTGACATCCATTCTGCCCTCTGCCGCCCGGCCCACCCTCTTGAGCGGTGGAGGAAGGAAGGCGGTTAGGGTCAGCAGCGGAGCAGCCAAAGACCCGCCCCTCCACCAAGCCCCACCCTCCAGCAATCTCTTGCATGACCCCGCCCACCAACCTATTTGTGGACCCGCCCCCGCTCAGCCTTCGCCTTGCTACTCCCTTCTGCTCCTCTCTGGCCAGGAGCGTTCCGGGCCCCGCCCCTTCCGGCCTGCCCTCGTGCCTCGCCCCCGTGCCTCTCCGGCCGCTCCTCCCCCTCCCTTCCTTGTCCGATGCCGGACGCAAATCCGAGCACGTTCTCGAGAGCTGAGAAGGGAATGTGGCGGGCGCGCGAGGAGACTTGCTGCCGCTTTGGGGCTGGCGCTGGCGTCTTTCTCCTTCTACCGTGGTATGGGTGCTGAGTCCCGAAACCAGAGTGCGGCAGTGTGGCTTCCGGGCCCCGGGCATGGAGGCCCCGAAGGCCGTGCCCGCTCAGGCTGAGGGCGCGGAGCAGGCGCCCTGGGC